TGGTACGCCTGGGTGAAAGGGAGCGATCCTTGTCGTTTCGAATTACGGAGCGGTCCTTGCTGTTGTCCTTGGAGTTGATAATAACTTGAAATTCCACGGGCCTGATGGCATTAATAGCCTTGGCAAATATTGCGTTTTCAGCCTTTCGCAGGACGTCTGAAGTGATTTCCGACGGATCGTCGGAGACGCCGGCAGATTTCTTAGTGGAATCCTCCAAACTTAAGATATTTTCCTCCATTTCCCATTTGGATAGATTGACAGAATTAGCCTCGCTGAGTTTGCTCCTTGGGCCGAGATTATCGTCGCCAGTAACGCCCACATTAAGGAAGGAATGGCTCTTCTTCGGATTAACGTTTTCAGTAGCGTTTTGAGCAGGAGAAAGTTGAGCCGCATTTATCTCAAAGTTGGAACTGGCCCTGGGAGATAGGACCTTATAATTTGACTCATTCATAAATGAGCTGTTGTTAATATCGGAATCAGATCGATTAGCAGAGGAACTCTTCTTCTGACGATCCCCTTTCTCCTTCCTCGCGCGCTTATCCTTCTTGCTTTTCTTGCGTTCAGCCTTGTCCTTGTCCTTCTTCTTCTTCTTGCGATCTTTCGACAATGGACTCTTCGCCTTGTTCTCCTTGCCCACATTGGGCTCCATTTCCGAGTCGTTGATGTCGGGCTGGGAGGCCATAATCCTGGCCCTTGCAGGCAGATAATCGTCGTGAGCCTTTTCCGGCGTTTTCGGTGAACTCTCGCGCTCCCTCAACTGGGCAGCAGTCATTTTCGGTGTGGTGATCTTTGCTGGCGGAGTCAGGCTTCTGTAGCTGCTGTCGGTCGGCTTCTGGTCCTTGCTCATGCTGCGAGACCTGTGCCTTTTTCGTGGCGCCTCTTCGTGCCGGCTGTGACTCTTCTTAATGCTTTCCCCCTTGCTGCTTTGCGATGCTTCCGAAGTGGTCGGATGCTTGTTCCTGTAGCCGTCTTCATCCGTCAGCTGCAGGGGCTCGAATCCGGGGGGAGGAGGCTCAACTGGCTCCGGCTTTGGGGCACTGGGCTTGTTATACGGCTTGTCCCTGTAATCACTCTTGTAGCCCGGCTTTGGAGATGCAGACCGACGATGGCCAGATCTTAGGATGAGAGAGTAGATAATCAATTTAAGCATTAGCACAGATGACGGATTGTAAAACTACCTTTTGATTCTGCCACCTGGGGACTTCGAGCCATCATTCGGTTGGCGACTAGAACGAGGGTGACGCATATGCCGTTCATAGCTATGTTCCCGCTTTCTTTCCCGGGATCGCGGTCTCTTGTCCTTGAGATTATCCCTGGAGTTGTCCTTTTCGTACGGGGGGGATTTAAAGCGATGTCGCTGTCTATCCGGGGACCTTGAGCGGTGGCGGTCGGAACTGCGAAATCGGTCCACCTTCTTCCGCTCCTTCTCCTTCATGATGCGATTAAAGGCCTCCAACGGATCGTCAATGAGACTGCAAAACATTGGGATTACTTATAATCCCATGCTGCTGCAATGTCTTAGAGATACTCACCCGGAACCGACCTTAGCTGCCACCCCTTGGTATATCGAGGCTAAATTTGGGGACTGAAATGGTTGTGACATATTCATATTCATACCTCCGCCTGCAGATCCGTACGGCGCACGCATTGGGTGTACGGACTGGTTTTGATACGGCACATAGCTGCAATTTTAGAAGTTAATTACAATTCAAAAAGCTTAACGTTGATTGTAAGCAATACTGTTTTAATTAGGAATAATCAATATTCAACAAAGCATAAAGGCTCGCTATCCCAGAGCTTAAAATACTCTTAACTAGTGTGTGTATAGTCTCTGTTGGAACTTAAAAATATTGAGATCAGGCAGGACCAGCTGCGTATGGATTCGTCAACACCTCGGAGTTCCAGTGGCTTGGACACTTTACTCGATCCACGTGGTGGCGGGATCCAGACGGGTGGAAAAGAAACCTACCTTAGGGGAGGCCTCTGTCCCATGCTGTTATACCCGTTGTTGTAGGGTGGCATGTGGTGACTCATCATGTGCATCGGAGGTGGGCCGCGCTGCATTTGCATGTAAGGGGGCTTATAGGCACTCGGTCGACGAGCCTCTTCCGATTCGCCCATCATGTGTCCTTGGTAGCTGGGCACGGTGCCAATAGGCGTGGGCAGAAGACTCCGGTCCTTGTTACCAGACTCGGATTTTGCTGGACGGTGGTGCTTGTGATCGTGTTCGGAAACATAATCTGACCTGTCTCGTCGCTGAGAGGATTCACCTTTTTGGGAATAACTGGGGGATCTCTGAAACGTTAAGTTAATAATCTAGTTAATCTAGGTTGCATCTATGTCACATATGTATGGCTCACCTTGCTTGGAACTGATGTGGAATCAGCTGAAGGCTGAGGCATTTTTATGGTGATGTTATCCTCGTAGTCCGAATCATATTTATCTTTCTCCTTTTGAGATGGTTGTGTGGTTGGAGGAGGTTCCGGAGATTCCGATTTTGGCGGATTGCCGCCATTGGTTTCGGCTTCTTGTTTCTTACCAGGTTTCACCTCAGTCTTTTCGGGTTCCGCCTCCGCGACCGGCTTCTCCTCCACTTCTTTTTCAAGAGGCGGTTTTTCCTCATTTTTTACTGCAGCTGAAAAAAGAAACTTATTTAATTTACGTTCAGCGTTGCTGAGCACAAGCAGCATACCTGGCTTAACCGCGCTTTTGTTGTACCCAGTCTCGTTTTTAAAGGCGTTCACTGAATTTCTCAAGAACCGATTAGGTATAAGGGAGCCAGGGGAACAGTTCTTCTCCTTACAGTCGGGACACTCACTATCCTCTGACTCCAATAAGGAAGTTCGCACACAGTCGTCACAAAAGGAACTTCCACAGCATGGTATCATGACAGCATCCACGAATATATCTCGGCATATGCCGCATATCAGATCCTCCGGTATCTCCTGGTTTTGCACAGCAGGCAGCACAAAATCGGATGATTCGTTTTCAGCCGCATCTGGCTTGTCCCGGAATGACCGCGGAATTCCAGTGTTCCTTTTGACCTCTTGCTGGTCCTTTCCCGTTACAAAGGGACAGTTCTTGATCCAGTGGCCGCTCTTCTTGCATTTGTTGCATCGGTAGGATGCGGGAACTTCGCCCACTTGCGATTGCCCTTTAATACGATGGTACCTAAACAGAAAATGCATTAGATAGGGGATATTGTAACGAGTTTAAGCCACATACGTCTTGGGATCATAGTCGACAGTGCTCTGCATCATCATTGCCTGGATTTTGTCCTCCTCGGAGCCTTGCATTTTGGACAGGTCCATGTTGAAATTGTCCTGCTTTGCAGGGGCCGACGAAAAGGCATTTTCTGCAGCTGGTGGCTCCCAGCCTTTTTTCGTGGGATGGGCGATGGGAATGCGCGATATGATCAGCGTTGTGTTCTTGGGAATGAGCACTCCATCGTCCTTGTATTCTGGTGAAGCAAAGAAAATCATGTAGCAGGGGCAAACATGCTGGATTACGGTGGACATACCTTCTTTACTCTGCGCATTTGTAATTTGAAGATCGAAGTCGATTATTTTGCCCAGGCGCTTCTGCTGCACAATCTCCCTTTTCAAGTCCCCGACAGAAATGTGAAGTCCATCAAACGTAATTGTATCAAAGTTGAGGGTACTCTTAAATTTATAGTGTACCGACATAGTTGCACACGAAAGAAATCTGCGATGAAGAGATTAAAAACGATTATCTTATAGTGTCCAAGGCAGTTGGGTTATCAGAGTCAACACAGAACACAGTACAGAATATGCTTCATAAATATCTTAATAGGCAAACTGATAAAGCTGTTTACATAACGTTTACAAAGTTAGAGTAAAGTGCTGAAGACGTGTGAGGGTGCGCTGCAATCCTAAAAACCTGCTTGACACGCTTACTGGCCTGTCATAAACTGAAACTATGCAACTAGTCGATTTGTGGGAACATTGAGATTGAATAAAATCTTAAAAGATCACTAAAATGTGGTTTAAACAACAGTTATCCATGCATGTTCTGAAATCAGTCTTTATTGCATCGGATGAGGTGAAAGCGCGAACTTTATTATTGGTGCTATGCTATAATTACGGCGGCTGGCCAATTTTACAAATACGAATTTGTTGGCCCTTTACCAAAGTATGCCGAATATAGATTCCCGAATTGCACCACGCACTTCACTTGAACCGCGGATAATGGCAACATAAGACCATACGTATGTACGGTACGTATGCTAAGTTGCACAATTCCGGCAACAAGCCGCATATATGTACATATGCATATGTACCGCCTAGAATCCGATCAGATCCATGGACTTTCTGCAAACAGCGTTACGCATTTTTTGCACCTATGCATAGCAGCAGCATAAAATTGCATGTGCATAAAAATTACACACGCGAAAACATACATATGTACGTACACATCGGTTTTCTTCCAAGATAATGGGTTGTACGCGCTAAAGCCGCACTGAAATTGTGTTGAGGGTTGCAAGGGATCACTGTTCACGCGTGTTGTTTACTACCGGCAAGCAGCAGGCACAAAAATAGCAATTACTTACACTACTTTGCAAGCACATAAAAACTCCGACGATTTTATTTTTTCCAATTTTCTAGAGATGCGTAAGTGCCGCAAAAGCCCTAGAGATGTGAAATGCGGACGCACACGCGGATATCGATACAAGCCAAGCTATCGATATCGATGTTAGAGTGTGATTTATATTGCAAAGTGAAAGTTTTTAAAAATAAAAATTTATGATTTTAAGTGATGTAATGGTACACATTTGGTAAAAGTTGCATTGTCCGGAATTGATTTTTCATCAGTTGTTTGCAAGGCTCGCAGTTCAACATTGGTTCTCTTCCACGTGAAACGATGGAATGGAATGCAGTGCAAGCATATTACTATCGATCATTTAAATAATCAAATAACTGTTAAGCTGCAGTAAAGTGATAAAGTGAAGTGAATAAAAAGTAAGTAAAAACGATTTTCAATTTAGGGAGGATTTAAAAAGGTTCAAAAATTTATTAACAGCAGTTAAACCGAACTACAACCATATTTTGCTTATCTTAGATCCAAAAAATTCGATGCAATCCTAATTTAGTCTTAACTCAAGTATTTACATTAACAACTTTTGCGACAAAGTGCACATACAATCTAATAAAATCTACTGCTTTTTGTATCACCGCATTTTCGATATTTGCACGTGTTCTTAAATATAATACAGGATTTCTAGTTACAAAGAAGTAATGGGGTTACGCAGATGGAGTTAAAAACTAACCAACATAGGCAAATGGATTGTATGGAGGCGGATAGTAGTTGGGGAAGGATTGGCCTGGCTGGCCCGGAATGGTAGCGGTTATTAACCTAGTGACGGCTGTGGGAACGACGGAGGTTGAGAAGATGGTGGTGTAGGCGGTTCTGGCGCCGAAAGTCAGTTTCAAAACCTTGGAACTCGTTTCCGTCACCATGGACTGCTGGACCTCGGTGGAGGTGATGAACTGCTGGGGGGGAATGGGCAGTAATGGGTTGAAGGGATTGAATGGATTGATCGAGAAGGGATACTGCGAGGATGGCGTTGGCATGGAAATCGTGGCGACTTCAGTGACGTATTCCGTCTTCTCGACCACACCCACGGACTTGGAGAGCGTTCTCATGATGGTTTCGGTTCCTCTGACCAGGGGCACCACATGGGACTCCCAGATGGTCTCCAGCTTGATAACGGGTCGCGTGGAAGTTATCAAGCTGTTTTGCAGCGTTTCCGGAAAGCTAATCGATTCCGGGATCAAGGGGATCAATGGGCTGGTAACATTACTCTTTGCCTCAACTTTGAGTTTCGGCTTTATCTTCGCGTCGAATTTGCCCGTATTATCTTCGTCTCCGAACTCAAGGTCCAGGTTGATTTCGGACCCGGCCTCGTCCAAACTTCCCTCAAAGTCCTTGAAGTTCTTAGAGGGATTGAAGTCGTCGCTCAAGGGGGAAATGGTCTGCGTTACGGTGATGAGACTGGTGTAATCGTAGGTCTGAACCAGGGTAACTTGGATGGTTTCGTTTCTTTTTGCGTACACCACGGGGAGGATCTGGGTTTTCAGCTTGGTGTGCGTTATGGAAAAGGACTCCGTTAGGGTCTCCAGACTGGGGGTCTCCGTCTCCTCGCCCAGATAGATGGGTTTCAAGGTCGTAACGCTGCCCGTTAAGGTCTTATCATCGGCACTGGCGGTGGCCTCCAAAATATTCTCCGTCAACGGACCATCATCTTCGGAGTACTCCTTGGTGTGCTCCTCCTGGATCACTTTCTCAATGGTGGAGGTGACGGTCAGGAAGCGCGTTTTCTTAACCACTCCAGCCTGAAATCAAACGTATAAGTATGCCATTAATGGGGTTTATGGGCGTGGGAACTTCACACAAAAAACTCATTGTCTGTTTGAATTGGAAAAAAGATACAGCATAATTACCTGGAATATAAACGGAGTCTTAATGGTTGCAATTTCGTAATAGGTGTCTATGAATGGTTGGGGTGTCGATATTTCCACGTTCAACGTCTGCACAAAGTATTTGGAGTTGGGATCGTCGTTGTTGTTGTTAGCTACCGGACCGTTCTGGGAGCCGGACGCCTCTAGATCCCTGCCATTGTTAATGGCCTGGTTGGTGATGATGTCCACGGGGATCTCATCGCTCGGCGCCGTGTCGTTTTGGGCGGGGCTGGGAAGATTGGGGTTGGCGTTCTTCCTAATGTTAACTTTGGGCTTCGGCGAGGACTTGTACTGCCATCTCCCAGGACGCCTATTGAGCTTGAATGCGTTGGGACTCACCACCGACACCGGCTCCTCCTGCACAGCATTCGCGTTGGCTTTTGTTCGATACGAGGGACGCGAGGTAGTTTCAGTTGCTGATGGCGCTACTGCCGGCTTGGAACTCTGGGTGTGCTTATTCCTCCTGCAATGGAGGAGGACCAAGTTTGTAAAACAACAATAAGATACCTTTCAAAGGATCCGTTTTACCGCTTTCCCTTGGGTCGAGACGGCTTTCTGGTGCCCGATGATCCTCGGTTGTCGCGCCCACTTTGGTGGCTTTTCCTCGGTGGTTTGCTGGACAGTTGGGTCTGGCTAGAGAACTCCTTCAGAGTCCTGCTTGGCTGGATCGAGGGCGTGACTGGCTTGTTCGTCCGCGTCTGTCGGGGCTTGCTCTTCTTCTCCACGCTCGAAACTGCGTGCACCTGGGAGACCTGGGAGACCTTTGAGAATTTACCAGAATCCTTGGTCGCCGTCACGATGCTCCTGAATTCACTGGATCGCGTTTGGTAGCCATGGACGGGCTCCTTCTTGGACGCATATATCCTTTGGCGGTCGGCCTCGTTCTTGGACTTAAAGTTCACCAGGCGATAGGTTTCCTCGGCAAACTGCTCGGGCTGGCGGGAGAGCAGATCGTATTCAGGGGTATTCAGAAGCGTCTGAATGGGCGAGTTGGAGAGACTGATGTTGTAAGATTCAATCTGGGATGTTTCGGTCTCGGGAATGACATTCGAGTGAGTCACAATCAAAGGCGTTGGCTTGATGCCGACCTTCTCCTTTTCTTTCTTGGTTACTTTCGGCTTGGTCTCTATAATATTTACTATCTCGTGTGTGTCGTTGGACTTTAGTTCTAAAATGGGAAAGTAGTTTCGCTACAATGTTGGTGACATAGTAATACACTTACCGAAGGCTGGAGAGCTTTGGGGCGAGAACACCATGACGGTATTCCCAATAGTGGTTGTAAAGTCCAGGAAGCCGTAAACAGTCTGAGTTAGTAACTCAACATCGCCGCAAGTAGCTGGGGAAAGGTATCCGAATTCGGTGTTGAGTTCAATTTAGTTGTTCGTAAGCCATAGAATGACTTTTTGTATTAGGCTTACAAATATACTCGTACACATAAATATGAATTCAAGGCAACGCGCTCTCGTAAAGTACAAACGCAAAATTTCTTTGTAAACTGGTTTTCTGAAAAGTTTTTCTGATTGGCAGGCGCAATTACTCAAGAAAATATACATTCAATTTATTAAAAATGACAAAGATCGAAGCGATTGTAATTAAGATATGTTTCTACCAAACAATAGGGTAAAAGCCAAACGCGTAGGTCCGGCCGCAAATTTAAGGTATAATATATGCGACAGCTGGGACTTTGGCGGTTTCTCCCCCCTATAAGGAGGTGTTAGAAAGTTGATCTTAACTCTATAAACTCACCGCTTCCGAGGGCGCAAAGAATAAGTAGGTAGCGCAACATGTTTGTAAAACTCAACGGGTGAAAAGCTTAGAAAAATTTGATAAGATCTGAAACCGAAGAAGTTGATATGGTGATAATTACTAGCAGTTGGCAGGCAATTAAAAGGCTTTCACCCGAAATGATTTGAATAATAAACGGCCTTTCAATTAAGCCGTTATGGATACAGGTGTAACACAAAGCGTGTAATTAGCGTTGTTAAGACTGGACCATTGCCATAACTTCTTGGTCCATTTTGTTGCGTAGGGCTTAATTGAGGCCATAAACATTTAAATTGGCCGCCGCGCGTTGGCCACTCGCGAGCACTTTGGGCCAGCATGTGGGCTTGAAAGCCAGCCAGTGTCTTGTACTCATTGGGGGGTTATCTATGCAAGTGGCTCTGCCACTGGTTATGTAAGCTTCCAAGTACACGGAGGCGAGTTTGTTTGGATTGTTCAGTTTGTTTGGATTTTTTGGATTTCGTATGCTCGAATTGCGATCGATCATTAGTTACAAAATGAAGTTGAGCCAATTTGCTGACAGCCAGCTGGTGTATCGTTAAGTATATTCAGCCATCGACCGCTAACTTTTGGCATTGAATGGGCCAGCTATGTAGAGTGGGTAAAACTGGGTAGGGTGGCCCATAATGATGGAGCACATACATATGTGCGCGGTGTATGTACATTATCTGGCGATCTTTCGCGGCGGCGGATCACTTTGGTCTTTGGAAGGCGCCGTGCCAAATGCCTTGGCTCCCACAGAACTGGTCAGATCACTTTTCGAGGCAGAAAAACATTGAAACCGCGACGCTGGAGTAGTGCGAGTAGTTTTCGCACCCACTGTATGTAACTAATGCACACGCACACTCGCAAGCACAAAGACAATCGAAAGCATTAGGTCATTGAGAAACATTGAATAGAGAAAGGCTCCAGCTCCAGCTCAAGCTTGGCTCTTGGGTCTTGGGTCTTGGATCTTGGATCTTGGGTATTTGGTTTTTGGTTTTTGGTTGTTGGTCTTTAGTTCCCGTTGCCACTGGCTTCGTCGTCTCCGCGAAAGGTAATCAATTCAGTTTCTTTTCTTCCGCGACACAACTCACTTGCACTTCACGCTCAAAAGTGGGTTTCTTTCAGTGGCCGCTCATATTTTCATTCACGTATTTTCTTTCGCCAGCAACTTGCCACATACACGTACATACACGCTCAAAAGTGCATTTTTTAAGCACTTATTCGGGCCAACACTGCACTGATCTGGCTAAAACATATTCCGAGCGAAATCATGAACTCCGCCGCTGCTGGCCGAGACAATTATGAAACTGTAGCAGAAAGCCAAGCTATCGGTGGGTCCAACGCGAAGCATACAGCTGGAGTGGCTACGAATCCGAATCCCAACCGAATCCCAACCGAATCCGAATGCGAACGTATCTGAATCTGAATGTGGATGTGAATCTGAATCCGAGCTACCCGCAGCTACCACGGCCCATGCACACATGCACACTCTCGGACTCCCGAAGAGAACGGCCACATCGGCGATGGTAATGGTAATTGTGGCTGGCGAAGAGTAGGGTTACTCGCGCCGAACCCAAAACCAGTTTGCCACTCTTGCTTTTCCGTTCCGAAACGCCGTGGGAATAACTAAACTTTCGGTGGCCAAAGACCGACTGCGCGCCAGTTGCAGCGGCTGCTTGAGCTAGCCGAAGAGTTTTGAAAAACCCTATTTTCCAAATCGCTTTTGAACAGGCTTTGCGAAGTAAGTAGTTCGGATTGTGTGTACTTTAATATGATACAAGTAATTAAGAGGGGAATTTGCCGAGAGTATTAGAAAATATTACAAAAACGACATATCATAGTGGCAGCAACTCCGGATCTAGAGCATTTTCTAAGAGGAAGCCGGCATTTATTGAAGCTCAGATCGTTGAACACTACTGCTCATTCCAGCGACTCTGGCAGCAGTCGTAGGCCACGCCCATTCCGATGCCCAGTCCCAGCCAAATGGGATAGGTTTGTGGTCGCGTGAAGAACAAGGTGAACACGCTGCCCACGATCAGGCCACTTCCGCCTTTCATGCAAAAGTCCGCCAGGCACTTGTCCGTGGTTCTGGTCTCCACGCTCACTGCCGGAGGCTCCTTGGCTGCCGGCTTGGCGGGCTTTTGCGGTTCATGGGTCATTTTCGATCTCCGCGATCTCAGCAATTTTCAAAAATTTCGAGGTGTATAGTTACTTGTGGGGGAAATTGACGTTTAAGCCGAACACATGGCATTTGGAATTTGGGAAATATATGACGCTTATAACTGGGGTAATATATAATATATAATATATTACATAAATATATAGAGAGAAATGCTGAAGAATTCGCGCTTTGTATTTTTCAAGCAACTCTTGACATGAAATTGAAATGAATAAATAAGGTACTTTGATAAATGGGGCCATCTGGGGTTAACAGCATTCCGGCGCAGGTGACGCAGGCTAAATAAATAAAAACAACCTCAGCGCAAGGAGATGGATGAGTGCCATAGTTACAAAATCCTAGGCAACAATATTTTTGTGTATTTTCGCCATGGCAACGAAGGGTTCGCGTGCCTCGCAAGATTGCGAACAGTGTCGCCCAAGTTCAAAACAGGGAAAGATGTGAACGAACCGGACGGAGCATGGATTGCAGAGCGAACTTCCTGGCCTACTTGGCCGTGTTTTTTCACCTAGTCAGCGATTACTGTTTCGCACCAGTGCAATGTGTGGACGCTCCCTTTATTCACATTCCGGGCAACGGCGTCGTATCCGGAACCTACCTGAAGATGTTCCGGACGCAAAACATCAAGGCCTACCTGGGCATTCGCTACGCACATGCCAGGAGATTCCAGCCGCCGGATATCGAACTAACACCGTGGAAGGGAATTTTCAACGCGACGGTCTTCCAGCCGGACTGCTGGCAGAACGCCATGCCTTCCGTGGGCAAAGAAACCGAGCAGATCCTGAAAATCATTCAGTCCGACCCGAGTTCCCAGGATGCGGGCAGGAAGTACGAGGAGGACTGCCTGTATCTGAACGTCTTTGTACCTGATGGTATGTACTTTGTACTTTTCATATTGTATACGGGTCTTTGGATCAATCCATTTAGGATCTCCGCTTGATAAGCTTTGTAGGCTCTTCAAATGTTTACGTAAATATTCATTGTTGGTTAGATTTGCATTTATAGTTTTTAATTAGTCGCTCATTTTTGGTTATCATAGTGAGTCTGAACCCAATGGGGTTGGCATAGAAATCTCTTAGGATTTAGGTTAAATTTGTATGTAAATACATTCATATCGAATATCAGCCGTCGGTGTTTCTGGGTCACCCCCACAAAACGACCTTGCTGTGCACCTTAAGTGATGTAAAGCTAATCATTTTAGATATGCTAATTTTGTATTATATTTCTTTCTCTCGACCAGGACTGCCCGAAATCAATGGATACGCAGTTGTTGTGTGGATCCATTCCGGCGACTTCTCCACCGGCAGCCCGGCGGATGTGGAGCCATTTCAGTTGGTCTTCAAGCAGAAGGTGATTGTGGTGACCTTTTCGTATCGGCTGAACATCTTCGGTTTCTTCACCACCGACGACGGCGAGGCGCAGGGCAACTATGGCCTCATGGACCAGTCGGCCGCGCTCTACTGGGTCAAGAAGAACATCAACTTCTTCGGAGGCGACTCGAACCGCATCACCCTGATGGGCCACGATGCGGGGGCCGTGAGTGTGGCGCTGCACATGACGTCGGGTGAGTGGTCGAAGGGTGGCTTCCACAAGGCCATCATAATGTCGGGCAATCCACTGAGTCCGGTCAAAATGCCGTACGAGTACGAGGGATCCCTGGACCAGGTGTCCAGCACCTTCGCCTGTCCGCGCAGGCCGACCTCGTTGTTTATCCAGTGCCTGAAGAGGATCGATGCCAAGCGGCTCTCGGAGAACCTGCCCTCGGTGAGCTGGGGCCCTGTGGTGGACTTTGGGCTGAGCAACACCTCGTATCCGTTCATCGAGAACCAGCCGGAGATCCTGTTCAAGAAGGGCAGCTACCACAGGGTGCCCGTGATCATTGGAGTGACCGATATGGAGGAGGTGCTGACCTTGTTTAAGGACAATCTCGACACGGACATCAGCCCCGCCGATCTGGAGGGATTCTTCAACGACATCGCCGTGAACGACATGCACAAGCTGGTCCGCAACTACGAGTGGTGCTCTAACTACGAGTTGATATCCGATGCCATCAACTTTATGTACGCAAACGACTCGGACACGGACGCGAAGAAGGCGAACAGGCACATCATCAGTGCCCACACCGAGAAGTTCTACATCACACCCATGCAGACGTTCGCCGATCTGATCAGTAACGACAGCCAAGTCTACAGCTACCTGTTCCGGATGCGGCCGAGGTCGGTGCTCCAGGATCTGCCCAGTTGGATAAGTGTGCCCAAGTACTTCGATCAGGTCTTCGTGTGGGGCAATCCGTACATGACCAACGCCGTGGACTGGAAGTCGACCGACAAGAAAATCGCCGACATTATCATGACCTTGTGGGCCAACTTCGCGAAGACCTCGAACCCCACGAAGTCGAATGTGTACGTGAAGTGGAACGCCATGACCCCCAACAATGACTCGGTGCTCCTGGTCGACGAGAGCTTCAACACGGACAACCTGCTGAACAACCAGCGGATCAACTTCTGGAGATCGCTGTACCCCAAGATCCTCGTCTTCTCCGCCGACTGCTGCAACTCCACGTTCTCGGGCAGCGGCCTGGTGATCGCCACTTCCGTTCCCATACTATGTACCCTTAGCATTATCGTTAATATATTTTGAATAAAGAGATCCTGCAATAGAAACCGCTTTGACCCTCTCCAAGTAATCTGTCCTACCGTTACTTATTATTATATTAATAAATACTTGAAAACAACAGAAGCCCTTTACAAAGTTACCACTTGTCGTTTATTGGTCGTTCGAAACTTATAGGATATTGGTTTGTTGCTACGACTGCCATACACATCATGTCATAGGGAGTACCTCAAAAGTCTCGAGGATTTCGAAATCGGGCGTCTAAGGGTGAAGGTCGATTAAAACATTGTGTTGCATACTTTTACACACCCATCCTGTTGATTTCTGAGGCATCCTCAGTAAACAAGTTTTGGAAATTCGTTTTCGGAGGTCAGAATGCATTTTTCGGTACTTATTCTCGAGACTTATACGATTTCTATACTAACCACCGCCAACTCATTCGCCGTCCATACTTTCATTACTAAATGTCGTTGTTTTGGAGCTAAAAGTAGCCAGTTGTGGAATTGCAATACTACACCTATTCGTCAGCCTCAAAAATGTGGGCACCCAAGGACTAGAAACCCCAATGCGAATCTTGGAGCTTATTGCACACGGGGGGTAGTTCTTGAACGCGCTTTTTTGGTCGCATTGTTAAGCCATTGTCAGTGTGCCGGCTCCGATTCCGTAGCCCACGCCCTTTGGTCCGTAGAACTTGCCGTAGCACGATCGGCAATATATGCCGCCATCGGGTCCGTCGTTCAGGTTGGTCGAGTCCAGGTACTTGCGGCACTCCATGCAGTAGAAGCAGAGCTTGTGCCACACATTCTTCGCGCTCTTCACCTGTTCCGCGGCGAAGACCATGAATCCGCACCGCGGACACCCGTTCTCCGACTTTTGTCCGTTGCGATCGATGGTTCCCCAACTGGAAGAGGGAATCGCATGGGGCGGGATGACCAGACGAACTTCATAAGATGCTTACCAGCTGGGCGTGTACTCGTAGTTGGTGGACACCAGAGTGGGAGTGTGTCCGTACCCAACTCCCTTGGGGCCAAAGAGCTTCGCGTAGCAGAGTTTGCAGTAGATGTTGTCATCCGGACCGTCACACGCGAGCACCGAGTCCAAGGGGCGGGTGCACCTGGCGCAGTTGAAACACTTCCTGTGGTACATCTTCCCCTTGGACAACTGCAGCTCGGCCGCAAAGACCGCTCCGCCACATCGAGGACATCCCTCGCCATCCGGCGCCATGATCGAAGTGGTGTCCGGGGCCACGAAGGGTCGCTCGGATGCCAAGTTCTCCTCACTGTAAGAGATGTCTTTTAACCAAATCAGGGATTGGATAGCGAAGAAGATGTCGGGACCACTCACGTAATGCCGTCGGTTTGCAAGAAACTGGATCCACAGGCGAATCCGTAACCATGGGGTCCCCACTTCTTGCCGTAGCAAGTCTTGCAGTAGACCTCATTGTCCGGTCCATCGCACGCGATAATGGAGTCCAGAGTTTTGGTGCAGTCCCGACACTTGAAGCACTTCCGGTGCCAGCTCCTTCCCTTGGACAGAACTTGTTCCGCAGCGAAAACCACGCCTCCACAGCGTGGACATCCTTCCCCGATTGGCGCCTGGATTTGCTCCACATTTATGACGGAGGCCTTGGGAGCCATGTCGCTGAAAGCAGCAGCATAATAACCTCGCCCGTACTGCTGTAAGTACTGATCTCACCTTTGCCACTCGCAATCCTTGATGTCGGACATCAGCCCCAAGGAAGAAATGCCGATGTGCCCGTAGCCTCTGGCCCCAAACTTCTGAGCATAGCATCCTGAAAAACTAACGCTGCTAAAGATCCCATTTCTCTAAACGCTCGGGGCGTGAAATGTACCTCTACAGTAAATGTCCTTGTCCGGACCATCACAGTGAAGAGTCGAGTCTAGAGTCTTGTTGCATTGCACGCACTTGAAGCACCTCCGATGATAGCCCTGCGATAAAGAAGACCACCTAAGCCAAGGGCCGACGAACCCAGAACACCTCAATAGTTCACCTTTCCTCTGGCCAGCATCTGCTCGGCGGCATACACATAAATGCCACACCGTGGGCAGCCCAGTCCGTCGGGCGCTTTTGGGGGAATCTTCGGCGGCACGAATCTACAAAGATTCAAATGCCCAAATGCTCAATCATAGCACTCTATCTAGAGTGCTGGACACTCATTGGGGGGCACCACAAGGCGGAAAGGTCGGTCGTTGTGCCCGAACAGAAAACGAATTGGGGAATACACGAAATACACAGAGACAGCGACGAGGAGATGCGAATAGAAACCTATAAATAAATCGTGAATAAGCCTACGACTACTTTGTTTTATTGTACATTTATTTTATCGATTTACAGTCTGTGGACGTTGTAAACAAAGATACAAGAATTATTTCACCAGGGACCACAATGTGTGTGCTGAACGTTAACAATCGTACATGTATGCTCGGTATCGTTAGTGGAATTTTCCAGGGTATCGGAAACTCGATATCCCCGGCGGTTTCTGCCCAGAAAGTTAATGGAGGGGCCTGATTTTGGGGCGTGGAAACATTGAAAACATACAGGTTCTAATAGAAAGCAAAACTACACATTTAATTCAAGGAATTTTACACAATTTTCATACAAAACATATTTCTTATTTAGTCCTTACTCTCTGTTTAAGTGGGCGCCAGAGTCCATGGACAGGCAGCCGGCACCACCACCGAAACCGTATCCCTTAGGACCGTATTTGCGACCATGGCAGTTTTTGCAGAAAAGCTCCTTCTCGTGCTCCGTGCAGTTGGTCGAGTCGAGGGCCTTGTTGCACATGCCTGAAACGGGCAGGTGGAAGGTGGGAGGGAGTTAGCTATCCGTCTCGAAGGACCAAGGCCAGGCGATCCGGCTCGAGGGGCCACTATACTTACTGCACTTGAAGCAGGTCTTGTGGAATTTGTAGCCTCCGGCAACGCGCTCCTCGGCAGCGTAGACCGACTTGCCGCACGCGGGGCACTTGGGTGTTTCCACGGGAACGAAAGGCATTTTGATCTGAGTGCGTGTGTGTCTGCGGGGGCAAAAAACTGTGATTATGGCTAACTGCAGCGGCAATGCGTGTAAATCGGCGCGATCGAATTATATACAAATAATCCTTAGGATATATACCTCGGAGGTACTCTGTGAAGTAGTTCCTATTCGTCGGAAATGCCGCGGACTAGACTGGAAAGATTCTGTACACAGGTAGTCTATATTTGTGGATGCACACGGCACAACTAAGAAAATACAGTTTGCGTAATAAAAACAGCACTTTCTGAATATATCATTTATTTATCATGCACTGCCCACGGCTCTGTGTATGTGTACTCTCGGCTATATCCACGCCGATGTCTCATTTCTGGGCTGGGCTGGTAACAGCCCAGTTGGAGTAACTGGGATTACTATGTGCCTCCCACCCACAAGAAATTTTTGCTTTGGCCTTAAGTACTTTGTTTTTTGGTGCACTCTCAAGTGCGAGGCATGCAAGATTTTGGGAAAAATCGAAATATTTAATGGCCTGTTTCTCACGAAGGTTCTGTATTACCCGCATTAGCCGTATTACCATCCAACCAAGCAATCAAGCAACCACCCCGCACACATATGTAATCTGATTTTACGCAACAATTAATTTATAAGCTTTCGACACGCACACCCAGATCCGCGCAGATGTAAATATGTATGTTTGTAGTCTAAAAATATATGCACACCCATGCGATGTGTATCAAAGTACATTCATGGCCTTATTTTAGTCTTAGAAATTCGAAAATAGCTCATAACTGCTCAACCCAGATCCATAAATAAGCACATTGCGCATTCGTCGCAGATCTTCGATCGGATTTGGAATAGCAATTGGAATCGAATCAGAATCAGAATCGGAATCGGAATCGGATTTACACGCCATAAAATGCTCGAGAATAGGTTCGAGTTTTCGAAAAAGCGCTTTCGAGAGTGGATCGAGTAGCCACAAGTGTTTCATTAGGGGCCAAATGAATATGCACATGGATGTGGATGGAGTGAAGCATCTTTTCATCATCGGCCGCGATGCCCATGTATAAACATATCTAAAAATAGAGGGGCTCTGGGCATGGCTATTCGTTAATTGTAAATCGCTCACTTGCGATTGGCAATGAGCCTAACAATTTATGAAGGCCAGGCCCAGGCCCATTGACTCGAGAAATCTGACAATATGGTTTGCTCTGCCAGCATTGTTTATCCGCGTGTCGATCCGATACCACCATTATTTTTGGCGACAATTCAGGGTTAGCTCGCCAGAATGTCGGGAATTAACCACTCGATCCGATCGCCTCAAGCTCGGAAACACGGAAGTGTATCTTAATTACCTGTATGGGTGGACAATTAGTGCAAAATAGATACATACCCGTACTCGTACTCGTCTGTGGCGCAGCTCTGAGTCACTCGTATTATTAGCCGCGCGGCGCATAATTATGAATATGTAATCCAATTATTAGCCATCTCTTTGACTTCGTTTAGCTCCGGATCACTATGTATGATATGCAGCTGGCCAAAAATCCACATCCATAGGTGGCTGACCTGATCTCCTCACCTTTAAGCCCATTGCTGGCGTTTTGCATGACAAAGAAATGAGTTTACAGCGATCGAGTCCAGATGTTGTGATAATCAGCTTATCAGATATCGTTTATTTTTACAAAATAGATAAATTAATTAATATACAAATAATTATTATAATTGTACATGTGACTTCATCGTTTATTTAACCATCCAATTGTTAATCGTAATTTATACAAATTACAGTCGCTGCAATACAAATTATGCAAAATAATGTATATCATTTACAGTCACTGTAGAAATATGGTAATTTAGGTGGAGTCCGACTTCAGCCGATTGGCGAACTCGACTTGCTGGATCTCCCTCCACTCCTTCTTTGGCTTCATGCGCTTCAGCTGCCCGTCCCAGACCAGATCAATCAAGCCTCCCTGCTTGGCGATGACGCTCTTCACGCGGTTCGCGAAGTCGATCGCCGACTCTCCCTCCTGCCTGTACATCGGGGGCAGGTACCACACGTCGCAGACGATGGCCCAGGAGGTCATCATCATGTACAGATACTGCATCATCGAGTACTTCGCGCTGTTCCAGAAGGCGTCGCCGAACCTCGGATCGTACCTTCAAGACGGAAGATGACACATGGATGAGAAATGGTTGGCGCGCCAAAGCATCCAGTACTCACTTAATGGCCACCGGGTAGATGACGCCGCCAACTTCGAAGCTGCCCTTCTTGAACTGCATGACCGACGTGTTGTTGATGCAAGTTCCCTCCGGAAAGATGAGAATCGGTGGGTTGTTCGGATCGGAAACGTGCTGCTTGAGTCGCTCGGCCACCAAATGGCGATCCTTGGCCTCGCCACGCTCAAACCAAATGTGGGGAGATGCTCTGGCCAGAGCCCTTTGCAGCACCCCCAAGAAGCCTCCATGGCGTTGGCCAATCTAGAAAATCGTGAAACTTATTATCTGGCTTTGGAAGAAGCTAGGTGCTACCGCAAACACAAAAAGCCAGAACATTAAACATGCACAACAAAAACCATCACCACAGCAAGCTTAAATTCGGGTTAGTACCTGCACGTGCAAATTTTCAGTAAGTGTAATTTCTTTTAAACAGCCTAGTTGATTTTTGAGAGCATTTCCAGATTGGCTTGAATTCTGACACCAGTGGTTTCTAATTTCCAAATACTATGATATTGAATTTATTTGTTTTTTGTGACTCGAAAACGAAAGGTTCACCCATTCAGGGCTAGTCCCTATCCCTTATTGATATCATAGGGAAAAATACAAAGAGCATTCAAGCGTTTTACCACTTAAAACGGGGTTATATGTGTTTGTGTGATTCTATTTACTACAGGAAACTGAGAAAGTAAGATGTTAAAAACCAAAGATCGTGATTATTTCCATACGGGGGTTAGTAGCTTCAGGTTCCAAACGTTGCCTTACCAGCGAGTAGGTCGAGTCGCACATCAGGACCAGCACATCAATGGGGCTGGTGTGATTGGCAACACAAATACCGGATGACGGGCGATTATCCTCATTGTGGTAGGTGATAACCGCCGATATCGCGCTGGACAAAACGCCGAAGCACATGCCAAGCACCTTGTGCACGAGATCCCGCTTGAAGGGCCCATCCTTCAAGTATCCCACTGCAGCCGTGCAGACTGTTAACCACACTACCTAAGATTGCACAAAACGAGAATGGGAACAGTGAGGGGTTTCAGTTACATAGAGCTTCAAGTTCTTGATAGGCGGTCTTCTTCCATATCATCGGGGGTCGTGGTCGTCTCCACTCGTCTTCAAGACATTACACTTTACCACTTGGCTTTTACCAAGCCTGACACTTTTGGCTGGCAAGAACTCTGTGACCCACTGCTATACCTGGTTCCTACACAGTAACCTATGCGTAATCTAAATTAATGCGTAATTACAATTTTCGGTTCACGCTTCCTTTCCGTCAAGCGCACCCCGCAAACAAAATTCACCGAGAAAAACAGCTGAGGCTAATCGTCAGACGTAATAGAGGGCACCGTGGGAGCCATAAACCAAATAATAAATAAGTGGATTCCATACCCGGCGCTTATCTTACCTGATTCACGTTCTTGGATACTCGCACGGCACGAACGAATAAGCTAGAAGCAGCAAACTACTTTGCAAAGGACACACATTAGGCGGGGACGAAACAAAAGCCAGTACTGCAACATAAACTAGGACCACATGGAAAACTGCGCCTCCAATCAAATTCATGCATGCATTCTCGAATCGACACGGAACAGCTCCGACTTATCAGCCAACTAGAGTATGAAGTAATTCATGTCAGCAAGGTGGGCCGAAACTTATCGATGCCTGTAGGTATGTTAATATGCGTCGGGTCTAAACTCCATGTACACAGAGATAATGGCTATCTGCCAAGGCGTACACATGGGAACTCTTTGATAAGTTTGGGCGAATGGAAACCAATAAAGCCGTTGGACAATTTATCGGCGGTTACCAGGCTGCTAGCCAAAGTCAAAGCCAAAGTCTGAAGCCCATAAGTCGAGTTTCTCTTACTGGGATAAAATGATCGAACGGATAAGTTAGAGCGCCACGATTTAGTATGTTTAGGTACAAGAACGGATTACAAAATGTGCGATTTCGGGTGTTACATGCATGCAATTTAACTTAAATGAAACCAGTTTATGTGACGAATTTAAGATAAAATTTCTTTCTCACCAAAGAGTAGGTACAATCGGTCGATAATATAGCCACATCCAAGGGAGAGGTATGGTTGGCTACACAGAACCCAGAAACTGTGGGCTTATATTGCTTATTGTGGAACTTGATAAAGGAGGACATAGAACTTGAAATAAGGCGGAACGTAATTTTGAATGACAAGCTCGCTAGAGAAAGTCGTACAAATCGAAAAGGTAAACAAGCCACGATAGAGTTTGATAAAACTGCAAATAAAACCTAGGAATTAAATAGTTTTTATTAGAGAAATAAATTAAAAGACGCACACAACACAAATAAATGGTGGTAAATTAAGGGAAAATTAACAAATTATCAACGAAAACGTTGTTAATCACAAGACCGGGGTACTTTGACGGTCTACAGACCGCATTAGCTTCTAGTAAACGTTAGTGCAAGCAATTTAGATAACAAAACGCGCCATTGGGGGTCGTCCGATATTCTACTGTTTGCCCAAAGTTATTTCTCTGAAGATCACTAAGTAGCTAGCTCTTCGCTGAAATGTAATCTATTGAGGAAAGCATTCCTTTACTGGTAGGTAAACTTTGACCAGTTTTTGTCCGTTGGGTCTCTTTCTTTTCATCCTGTAAGATAACTACTCGACAGCCCAATCCCTATGCATGATGCTAGTTTAACGTCGAAAGAGGAATACATTATTGAAGCGCATCCTTTGGGGCAATTTGTCGCATGCATGGGAATCGGGACGATCGGGTAGTTGTGGAAAAGCCACTAAATGAACCGAATGTACTCACACCAACGAAGCAGACCAATACGCGGAGGGGCATCAGAATGACGTATCGGATGAAGAAGCCGAACACCCAGATGGAGGTTATTTTCCAGGAAATGAACTCGTAGTGCCTATTGGTGCGTGTCAGCATGTTCCAGCTCTTGAGCTCCTCCGCCTCGAAGCGCGACGTAACATCGTCCTCGATGATGGCCTCCACGCCAGACTTTACGTAGTCTAAGCACTTCTCAAAATCGAAATTGATTTCA